GAATACTAAAAGATCTTCCTCCAAGTCTACTTTAAGAAACTCCAGGAACTTCCAGTAAACCTGCAATTTAAGAGTAAATTGCTACATGGGGCAACCAAATCTGTGATGTATGATAAAGCTTGATTATTAAGAGCTTTAAATGCATGGCTACTGCAAATGTGTGAATGATTTATTACTCTTCAATGTATCCAGTACATTTCATTCCAATAATGGTCCAACAGGGTCTTGTTTGAGCCAAAGACACAGGCTTATGCAACAGTAGAAATGCTGAAGTTAATATATGCCACAGTATCTCCAAGCAAATAAAGTAATTGCAGTGGACTGAAAGAATCAAATCAGACATGCTCTTAAATTTGAACTATGGACTGGTCATAAATAGTCATCATTAACAGTGTCAGGAAAACATTACCCCTTTTTATGAGGGCAGTATTTTCCTCACATAGTACAATAAAGTTAATGACGGACATTGTTTGAACCATAAAAGTGTCATATTTTGGAGATGCCGATTGGCTTCAACAAGGCCTAGTAGCATCTGGCTCATTCATCACATTTTTTCCCAATTGAGTATCTTTCTCCAACTTGTCCTGAAAATCAAAATGGAACAATCTTATGCAGAACTGCAGGATGATTTCATAGGATGTTTTGGGGAAGATGCTTGCTAAATCTCAATGTAAAACATGAATTAAGGATGTGAAACTCCCAAATAAAAATAATGTCACTTTCAGTGCTGTAGCGGTTTTAAAACAAAGAATCTAATCTTTTATTGTTTGTTTTTGGAGCCTGAAATTAATTTCTAAACAGGAAAGTGATGATAAAAAAGGGGGAGTTTTGATTGTTAAAATACATTGTAGCTTATCTGCAAGTTACTTCAGAAAGGAGAAAGCTAAACATTACGTTTTTATTGTGTTGGCTTAAACAAATTACCTTTTTCAGTTTCATGCATCAATGCTGTTTAAATATACTTTTAATACTAACTGTATTAAAAGTGCATACAGTACCATAAGGTGATCATATAAACTGCTGAAAGCCACATGCAATGATACGAATTGGTAGCCTTTATTTGAGCAAAATAAACATGTTAAGCAATGTAATTAATTAAATCTCAAGCAAATATTACAAAATAACTGCAACATGACATATTTTTAAAGCACACTGTATTTTAACATTGCGATATAGCTGAATATTTTGAGGGGTTTGATTATGTTAAATCTGATTTCTTCTGGGAAAAAGGATAAGATAAGAGAGGCATGTTAAATTGAATCAAACTAAATTAGATGGAGTTCTTAAAAATGCTTCAAGGTGAAAAGATTTATTAAAGTACTATATTACATAAACCTTTCATCCTTTCATTTTATATATATATATATATATATATATATATATATATATATATATATATATATATATATATATATATATATATATATATATATATATATATATATATATATATATATATATATATGAAAACAGTAAGTTAACATTTAGCACACTTGTTTTGAATCAAGTAGGCATTTCATCTTTGGGCATTACTGCTGTGTTTCTCATTTTAATCAGTAGAGGGCGACATTTTATATATTTTTTAACTGAGTCTGAAAGAAAGATGTAAAAGAAAAAGGATCAATCACCATACATTACTTCTGTTATGATTGAATTCAAGTCATTTATTAATAAGTGCAACACTTTGTTCCACTTAATATATACACCTGAACCTCAGATATGTATTTATAGTATGTATGGTTACCATACATACTATGAATACATATCTGAGGTTCAGGTGTATATTACAAAATAGGATGCCCAGAACCATACTATGGTTCTGGGCATCAGGGAAACTGACATAAGAACAGTCTTGGAAATTATTATAAAGATGAATAGAAATCAAACACAGTAGGAATACCCAGTTTTACAAGTTAATAACACAATTGCAGTTTCAAACCAGGAAAAAAGCTGAAATATTGGGAATACATTTTTACAAGATCCATAACTCAGACAATACAGCACGAAAGGACAGAGGAGACAAAAATATTTACTGTAAAATTAGCATTTATTAAACCGATATCACAAAGCAACAGACCTTCTAAAAGTAGCATTTTTAAATTCAGAATTAAATCAAGCAATAAATAATTTTGAGGAATTTGCACCAGACAAGAATCAGATCTGTTGTACAATGATATATCATCTGATTTGTCTAAAGATTTATTGCTAGGGTTGTATAATAAGATATGGGAGAAAGGGGAAATACCACAGAGCTGGAAAGAAGCCATAATCATTCCAATATTCAAGCCAGGAAAAGAAAGCACCAATACAGGTAGTTACAGACTACGAATACGGTAAAAATGATAAACAATAGATTGACAAACAATATAAGAACAAAAGGTTATTTAGCTAATTACCAAAGTGGTGTAAGGAAAGTGAGGGATACCATGGATCCATGTTCATGTTAAGAACAGGAAATAATCAGGGTACAGGTATATGGAGAAAGTGATGTAGCTGTCTTTTTATATATATAAAAAAGGCATAAAATACTGTATGATGTGGAAGGAAGTACTGTTGATAAAACTTGGTGAAATGTGTTTGAATGGATCAAAATGTTTTGCTGGGCAGAAGTATTCAAATCAAGATAGGAATGTGCTTTTCTCAAAAACACTTTGTTGAGGATGGTACACCTCAAGGAAGTATTGTGAGTCCTTTATTATTTTCTATAATGATTAATGATGTGTTTAATGAAATTGAAAATGTTTTCTTTATTTGCAGATTATGGGACGATTTGAAAAAGAGGAAATAACTTGTTTTTTTAGTGAAGAAATTACAAGGGGCTGCTAGGAAAATAGAAGATTGGTCATATAAAATTTTTCTTTTGATAAAATGAAGGTGATGTTCTTTGCAAGGAAAACATGCAAGGGTAAGTTAGAACTCTTTATAATCAGGATTTGGAGAAAGTAGAATGCTTTAAATTTTAGGGGGTAATGGTTGGATGTATAATTAGCATGGATGATTCACGTTCAGAAAGTCTCAGATAAATGTAAAAAAAGCAAGTATAACAAGATGTTTAGTAGGAAGTAGTGAGTAGATCAGATGCAGATAGAGCTGCTTTAAGGCGTATTTATGATTAATAAGGTCAGTTCTAGACTATGAGTGTGTGGTATTTGAAACAGGTTCCTAAAACTTCAATCACATTCAATTTCAGGCATTGAGACTTTGTACAGGAGCATTAAGGACAACTTCTGTTGCAGCTTTACAGGTAGAAATGGGTGAAATACCATTAAGTCCAAGCAGATCACAACTTTTTTTAAAGCTACTGGGCAGGTCTACAGAGTCACAATCAATGTTATCCATTTCCAAGCACTCTAAAACCATGCTGGAAGAAAGAGAGAAGAACAATTCAATTCAATTTAATTCAGTTTATTTATATAGCGCCAATTCACAACACATGTCATCTCAAGGCCCTTTACAATTCAACCAGATCATACAGTCAAATAGATTCAAAGTTTTCTATTTAAGGAAAATCAACTGATTACATCTACTCATTGACTCAAATGCAATCCCTCAAAGTTCCCTCAAATGCTTTGGATGGATAGCTGAACAGATATCTGCAGAACTTGAGTTGATTAACTGGGAATTATTCCAATAATTATTTTTCCAGTGATACATCCATGGATTCACCCTGAAGCTAATAGAGACATTTTCACTTCTTAACAGGATGAAAGACAAATCGTTTTGTTTAGAAGTTCAAACTATGCAAAACTATATTAATAGTTATCATAGATATGCTCAGATTTACACAGATGCATCAAAAGATTTATGACAAGATAGGATTAGCATTTATTAAAGGACAACTTTGTGTGTCTAAAGGTAATAGGGTTAGTGATGGATATCACTGGAGAATTGCTGGCCATACTTTTTGCAGTTCAATGAATTGAAGAAATCAGACTATTTAAAAAAAATCTTGCTCAGATTCTAGTTCTTTTTTTTTTTTACAAACTTTATATAATAGTAAGTCAGAGAGCAGATCAGATATTATTTTAGAGATAAAGCAGACTTTATATACAGTAAAAAGAACGGGACTAGTGGTGGTGTTTTTTATGAATTCCAGCACATATTGGGATACATCTCTGCTGGATAATGTCTCCCACTCCAATGCATGAAGCTGTTGCAGAACTGGAGAGATCCTTTAGTGTCAGACAGCTGCACCCTAAATGCACCATGGATCGTTATCACTGATCCTTCCTTCCAGCAGCTGGAAGACTTTATATCCATCACTGTTCCCATCAACCTTAAAAAGTTGCTACAGTACATTCATGCTGATTTTGCACCGTTTCTACCTTAGTCAGTTAAATAAAATGCTGCTGACATTTTGCTCATCTCTGATGTTGAAAACTGTATTGGTTATTTATCCTCCAGGTGCACAGTATTTATATTGTTAAAACAGTATTTTATTTTGTTATTTTTTAACTCTTTGCAATTATGTTATTCTATACACTTTTCTATAATCTTTTTGCTGCTGTTAACACCCTAATTTCCCCATTGTGGAACAATAAAGGGATTTTCTAGTCTATTCTATTGTATTTTATGGAAATGAGATGGAAGATAAAATAGCAAAGGAAGATGCAAAGAATAATGCAAGTGATATTTAAATAAATTTCAAGATTGAACAATATTTAAGAGGCAGAAACAATGGCAAAAAGAACAAAATGGGCAATGGTTTAATAATATAAGATACAGAAAATCAATCGTCAGATTTGGACAGAATAGGGAAACATCACTCAGGAAATTGTGACTTGTGTGAACAGAAAGAAACTGTAGAGCATATCATATTACATGGGAGAAAATACAATTTAATAGGAAAACATTGAAAATATTAAAACAAGATAGACAGAAAAAGTTTTATGGAATAAATATTTCCCTTTAATACTGCAGTTTCTTCTGAATACTGGATTATAAGATAGGATTTGGATTATTTATACATTCATTAAGTTTATTACAGTTTTTTGTATTATTTTTGCATAAGGTATTAAAATCCTGCTGCACACGCAAATTAACAACGTCACGTGACACAGCCAACATCTCCGCCCGGCACATCTGCAAAATGGAGGTAAGATGCAGCTAGCATAAAAAAAATATATATATATATGTGCATATATGCCCATATAAAACCGTTTCTATTAGTTTAAACAGTAATATTTAGTTTAGGAAAAGCTACATGGCGCATGCAGTTATTCACTGCTTCTCGGTTCTTCACTGTATCAGCTCGGCCTTTGTAACGCTGGTTTTAGCTAGCATTTATGCTAAGCTAATGGCTAACAGTGTAGCTGTAAGCAAATATTATCTCCTTAATCGATGCCGAAACCTAACTATCACGGGCATCTACATGTATGTGTGTGGTTTATAAGTTGGTATTTAAACTAGCGGCTCATTCGCACCCAAAAGAGACACGTTAGCTACTGCTTTAACCATGCTATAATGTCACAGCAGCCATTTTGACTAGAAATGCGAGATAAAGGCAGGTGCCTCTACTTCACTTAATTAACACTTTAGCAGAATGCCTGGATGAATGTAATTGATTCCTACGGGTCTTAATAGTCATTTAAATCTATCAGCCTCCTCCTGTTAAAGTCAACCACTAGTATTAGCCTATATTAACAGAGGAGTTTCATTTGGTTCGTGTACCATCTTTATTAATATATGGTAATATATGACTGTCTATATTTGCTGCTAAACAGCAGTGGGGTTCTTTGATATAAAACTTTGGAAGGAGGCAGGTATCCTATTTAGTCTGCAGTTTTTATTGCCTTAATTACATTACACCCACTGTTCATTTTTGTACCTTCATACAGAGATATGTTTAGAAAAGGTAGCTTAAAATATTACATACATTAAATACTTATAATATAGAGGTTGTGTTAATTTAAACAGCTTCGAAATGTAAAAAAATCAGGTGAATTACCTATTTAAAGTCATAAAGAGAAGACTCGTATTCTTGAATGTGTGTTCTCCAGTCTTTTTTTTTTTTTTTTAGTAGTTAGCATTAGGGCTGCAACTAAAGATAATTTTGCAAATTGATTAATCTGTTGATTATTTTTTCGATTAATAATCGGACAGCCAAAGGTTCTTTAAAGAACATTTTTTATGAAATTAAACCAGGTGAAACCAAAACATTTCCGCTTTTAGGACTTCTGGATAGAGCATATTGACAGACAAAATGCTGTTTTTTTTTAAATCCTAAATAAAAAATATTTGTTTTTTACAATTTTGTTGTAATTACTGCTCCAAGTGGGTCGTTTAAGACATGTTTTACAGTCTTTTACAGTGTCTATACTCAAGTTAATGATTAATCGATTACTAAATTAGTTGACGATTATTTCAATAATCGATTAATCCGATTAATTGTTTCAGCCATAGTTGGCATTACTATACAGGTTGGCCCTGTGAGTCTGTTTGAAGTCAGGCAGAAGTTTTTAATTGTCTAAAATTAAAAAAGTTGTCACTCTTACTGAATACTTATGTTCAATAAAAAAATAAATATATATATTATATAATGTATGTATATATGTGTGTGTGATGTGTAATATATAAAAAAAAAGCATTCAAAATTAACACTAGATTGAAAATTGATATATTGTCTAAAGGCAGTATACTGGACCACCACTATTAAGACTAAGAGATGGCAAACTATACTGTAAACTTCATCAGCATTATTATCTGGATTTACTCAAACGTATTTTAATTTTTTTACAGTATTGCAAATAATATTTGCATATTAATGTATTGTTTTTGTTGAGAATAAACCTTGGCAAATTTTAATAGAACTTAGTGTGATGTTTAAGACCTGTTTTTAAAATAAAAAAAACATTTTATTACCTATTTATATTTTTCCTTTTAAGTTTGTATCAACTAAAACGCTATTAGGCCGTTATAACAATGGTACAAACCTCTGGATGTGTCAAACATGCTCATGTTTGACACTTGCTTACAATTTTTCTTAATAAAGAATCAACATGGGTTCTCAAAATTCCAGTTGAATATGGTGGGTAAAAAAATAAGAAGATTTTTGAGGGGATTTTATTGCCAGAATGCAAAATAACAAATGTGTTCTTATCAACTTAACGCCTAGCTGCAGGCAATAGGGCTTTGCAATGTTGGGCAGAAAGAGCTATTTATTTTAATGTATAGACATAGCGCTTAATCGGCTGCGTGTCTCTGTGGCTGCCATGAGCTACTGATTGGGTTAACAGTTACACCAACGTATGATAACAGCGTCGCACATGCAATGATATCTTCAGTGGCGCAGCAACTTTACACTGCAGTTAAGGCACCATAAATTTTACAATTTGCTCTTTTGATAAATGATCTCGGAGATGGTCAGCAAAGCTGAGTTGTTTTCTGTTTTCTTCCAGAGAAAGAGTGCTGCACCTGATTTGAGCTGTTCTGAAACAAACATTACTGTTTAGTGTCTCAAGACCAAAACTTTATTAAAATGAAAGTAGAATAAAATTCCTTCCTGTAATGTGATGCGGGTGTTTTAAGGGGCATGTAAAAACCTGTAAAATGCTGCAACGGCACACAGTGAGAAGCAAAATGGATGTTTTGTAAACCTGGAATATAACAGCCTTGTTTTTTTTATTTATAGTATAATTGCTTTTATTGTTCATCAGTGGGGCTGGAGAATTTTGCCAAAAATCAAAAATGCGATTATTTTCAACCAATATAGCGATTTTTATTGCGATAATCCTTTGCACTAAGCATAAACATGTCGATATTTGACTCCAAGGTTTCAGTTTTTTAATAACCATAAAAGGCTGCTTGTCCAGAGTCCAGTGTGGTAGGACTTTACTGTAAATTTTTCATAAACAACTTCTTACTTCTACTAAAATGCATTTATCTAGGTCCTAGCTACAACACTGTCTGTGTGGCGGCATACCCACTTTAATGGTATTACTGCTGCCAAAAGGCTAGGGGGAGAAATTTTGTGTCTTACTCTAGTTAAATGTATTGTGACTAAAATTGAGCACTTCTGCGTTTTAAAAATTGCATTTTTCTAAATTGCGATTATATTCCAAATGAAATTAATTGCCCAGCCCTATTCATCAGTATGAAGATAGTAATCCTGTTTAATATTTGAACTCTTTTGTTTGTACCCTGTTTGTTTATAAAGCATCAGTGTGCGCTAGGTAGTATTAGATTTCAATGTTGTTGCATTTTTTTTTTCTTTTTTAACTGCTGAAAGTGCAATATTTTGGTTTTGAAGACCTGCTTCTCCTCACATGACCTTGTCCTGCATTTCTGCTTGTGTTTTACTTTTTAAGGACTGTGAATCTAAAGAACCAGAGCAGCTCCGAAAGCTGTTTATCGGAGGTCTCAGTTTTGAAACCACAGAGGAGAGTTTGCGGGCTCATTTTGAACAATGGGGATCTCTCACAGACTGCGTGGTTTGTAGTTTCATCGTAACGTGTTGAAGACTTTCCCACTTGATTAAAATCAAAAGCTGCTTACTTACCAGTAAACATATCTTTCTGTTTTTTATGTTGTGTTCAGGTGATGAGGGATCCTAACAGTAAGCGATCCAGAGGTTTTGGTTTTGTAACATATTCCTCTGTAACTGAAGTTGATGAGGCCATGAAAGCAAGGCCTCATAAAGTCGACGGGCGAGTCGTTGAACCCAAGAGGGCCGTGTCCAGAGAGGTAAAAGCATACATCATAAACTAGAAATGTTCTCACAGCTGTGTTGTTGTTGTTGGGGTTTGGCTCACTCACGCTCTCTTTAAGGATTCAAACAAACCGGGAGCACATCTGACGGTGAAGAAGATCTTTGTTGGTGGTATCAAAGAGGACACAGAGGAGCACCACATTCGGGAATATTTTGAGAAATATGGAAAGATCGACTGTATCGACATAATGGAGGAACGCTCCACAGGAAAGAAGAGAGGATTCTGCTTTGTCTCTTTTGACGACCATGACACTGTGGACAAAATAGTCGGTAGGCATTTTATTTAGATTTGAAAATTCAATTTTAATTAATAAACCAAAAGCCGTTGCAAATTATTTTTTTTCTCATCTTTCTCACAGCCCAGAAATACCACACAATTAACTATCACAACTGTGAAGTCAGGAAAGCTCTGTCAAAACAGGAAATGAATGCGATATCCAGTAACCGAGGTGAGCTCGCCATGAGATTTATTGAAAGACAGAAGCTGCTATTTTGGCCTGAATTGTAGGTGGCAGCTAAGTGCTGTAATTCATGTTTTTTCCCCTGTCAGGAAGGAGCGGAGGATCAGGAAATTTCATGGGCAGAGGTGGAAATTTCGGAGGTGGTGGCAACTTTGGTCGAGGTTTGTACACGTCAGATGAGACGAGGTTTTGAAACAAATAAATGCAGCAAATGTGTCATGTTACTCATTTTAGACACTGCTTTGGAAACGACCTACGTTTGTTTAGATATAGTCTGATCTATGAAAACACTGCAGCTTTTGACATGATGATGACTTAAATGTACTATTTGACTCCACTGTGTTCTTTCCTAGGGGGCTATGGAGGACGTGGTGGATATAATGATGATTTTGACAGTGGTATGAAATGCTACTTTCTCTCCTTTAAAACTAAAATCAGCAGCACTCCCAATATTTCTTCAATAAAACAGAGTTTAATTTGGATTTTTCAGAAGTTAAGTACTGAGAGATTATTAACAGAAACCAGTTTTTACTGAGTTTTTACAAAGATGACTCAGTCTTAGAGTTGTGATGGGTTAATGGCTTTTTCAAAACAACCATCAGTTTGAACTTATTTTATGTATTAAAACAGATTAAACTATGTTTGATCTTAAATGTTTTTAAGAATAACATTTTCAGCTCTATCAGACTTATAAATCTAGGACACTTAAGAGAACACTCAACATTTGGATTTGGGTTTAGCTAGTATTTCACCAGTGATATCTCAGTTCATCCATCCAATCTGGTTACAAGGAGGATCAACAGAGCCAGCAGACTAAATGCTGTAATGCTTTAATAACAGCATTGTTTGGCTTAGAAAAAATGGGGGGAAAAACAGAACACAGGTTTCCTGTAAAAGCCCAACCCACACTTTCATAAAGTCTGGGCTCCAGTCTGGACTAGAGTGAAACTAGAGTTCAGAAAATGTAAACAAAACAAAAAAACAAACCGGACTTATCTTGGAATTTGAGGATTTGATCTGAACAAATCAGACAGTTTCCAACAAATTGTGTATATATATGCAGAGTTAAAAGGAGCCTGCTGTGCTGACAGCTGCTCCTCTGTCTGCCTGCTCATCTGATGTTATAAGCTCCAGCTCAGACCCAGTGGGAAAAGACTGACTGACTACAGCAACACATGGAGCTGGAACCCCTAATGATAAAAGCATTTTAAATAATAACTTCATTTATGATGCAGAAGAATATTCTTTTCCTTGGCTTTGTCCTCATATATTTAATAAGTATCCCAGATTTTATCAGTAAGGCTTAAAAACAGATGGAGGACAGGATCCAATATTAGCCTGCAGTTGCTACAAAATTCCTTTAGTTTTTTCTATTGAACCATTGAAATAATATACACTAATCGCATGACTTGATCATTTTTAGACTTAAAGAGTATTACTTTACTTTGTAAAGCTTGGCAAAAACAAAATGGAACAAGATGATATAAAAAAAAAGTTTCTACGGCTCATTAGAATTATACAGGGGCATGTTCTACGCTAGGGATTGTATGAGCTTTTGGTAGACAGAGATTACCAAAGTTGATTTGGTAAATTATGCGCCTGAATATACACCAGCTAAAAACTGAACCCTCACTACATTTTTGGGCATCAGAAGAGCTGAGAGTCACTAATGTCTCTTTTTGTGATCTTTAACATTATCTAGAAACAAATATAGACCTGTTTTTTATAGATTTAAAAGTTTTGAATGTTACTGTATTGAGTTTGAGTTGTTTAAGATGGTTAAAGCCATGTAGGGTGACTGCATTGGTACCAACAGGTAGATTGGTGTGGCAAACAAGAGAGAGACCCTCATCCACTATAGTTGAATAAAAATAATAATTTCCACAAGCTTGAGTTAAACTGTTACTGCTAATAATCTCTCATCATAAAATCCAAACTAATCCTTTCACTCTTTGATGTTGTCGTAGAGTAATACTTTAAGCGATAAGGTTATACTGGATTCCTTATCCTTTGTTTTCCCAGGTCCAGGAGGAAACTATGGCGGAGGACCTGGTTATGGAGGTGGCCGAGGGGGTTACGGAGGTGGTGGTCCAGGCTACGGAAACCAGGGGGGAGGCTACGGTGGCAGTGGTGACGGAGGTTATGGAGGTAGTCGAGGAGGTAATAATGTTATCCCCTCCAAAATATATATGCAGATTTAGGTGTATGAATTGCAGATATTTCTACTTTAAAATTGTTACAACTTTTCAGGATATGGCGGAGGAGGAAACTATAACGACTTTGGAGATTATGGTGGACAGCAGTCAAACTATGGGCCAATGAAGGGAAATAACTTTGGTGGCAGGAACTCTGGTGGACCCTATGGTGGTGTGTTTTACTCTCTAGCTAACTGTGTATAATCTAGACTTAAATGTAAGAAGAGCGTAATTTTATTGTGACTAAACCTTCATTCCAGGCGGCTACAACTCCGGAGGCAGTGGTGGAGGCTACGGCTCCCGGCGGTATTGAACACAGCATGTTTTTGGTAAGTTGTGTTTCGTCTCACTCCAGCCTCGTAGCACAGTACAGAGTGAGCCCATGAAAGTGCAGATTAACTATTTGTTCTATCCTGTATCCATTCAACAGGCTTCAGTTCTTAGCAGGAGAGGCGAGGAGGTGAGCAAAGGAATTGTCAGGAAAGCTGCAGGTTACTTTGAGGCAGTCATCTGAAAGCATTAGAGGAACACAGAAGTCAGACTTTACTGCAGCTAAGTCGGAGAAGTGAAAGGAAGAAGGACTGTAAGAACAAGACATGAGTGCAGATGATGCCCTTCCCTAATTGTGGTAGATGTTTCCCTGCTGAGAAAGTTTTCCTTTTTTCTGAGTCTAAAGTGTGTGTATTGTTCCAATGGTATCAGGGGTAAAGCGCTTTTTTTTCTAAACTGAAGTCCTTTTTTATTTTTTACTTTCTTTCTATATGGTCAGGTTTTTCTGCTGGCCAATAAGTTATTTGTCTCCAATTCAGTTGTAGTTACACCAGGCCCTTAGATCAGCCAGAATTTCTTCTCTCTGACTTTACATAATTTGATGATTGCAAGTGTCAAATGTATTTTGATTATTGTATGTAAAGCAGTGTGTAAACCCTTCATAGTACCGGTGTCAACAAGTGTAAAGAGCCTGAATTAGAACCAAGGGAATCCCTCGCTCTTTGTCCCCCCCTCCCAAAAAAACAATAACAGATTCTAGATTGTTCACATATTTTCATTAGTAGATCCAAGACTAAATAAAATTGTGTAGTAAAGTAACAAGAGGTTTGGTGCATTATTGGTTCAGCAAAGGTTTGAACGACTCAGATTATTGTCTTTCCATATCATTGTAATGTTGGTGCAGCATGTTTAACTTCACTGTGGAGGTTTTCAAACTACAGTATTCTCTCCCATTTTGTCACATTACAACCACAAACTTGCATGTTTTGTTTGGGTTTTGTTTTTGTCAAATTTATATATTATAGACCAATGCAAAGAATCACATAATTATGAAAGTAGAAGCAAAATATTTGATCGTTTTTAGATTTTGTACTCACCAAAAATTTTGAAAATGTGGCATTCATTTGTATTTAACCCCATTTACTCTGCTGAAAAACATAAATTCAACCAATTCAATTAAATGGTAAATAGAGGACACCTGTAGCTCAATTTGTGCGGGAGCATTTCTGATAAAAAAATATTATTATGAAAACAAAGGAAAACGGGACTTGATCAGAGAGAGGGTTATAAAAACAACAACATGAAGTGAAACTGAACTCCTGAAGAACCGAAAGCAGACAAAGATATGCCAATCCACCCAAACTGTCACGTTGGTTGAGAAGATTAATCAAACGCATTGTTTCTATAGAGGAGCTGCAGAGACCCACAACTCAGGTGGAGAATCTGCCTATAGATGTAAGAGCTACATCCCCACTGCAGGTAAAATGGCTCAAATCTTACTTTGACAGCGGATAGCACAAAATATTAAATAAATCAGATTGCATTTTTATGTTTTGCTCCAATTGCACAACAAATATTGGTTTTAATCATGTCTTTAATTAGACAGCTCATGCTGATGTCTAAACGCAGTCACCTTAAAGTTATAATCTGAATATCTCAAAACCTTAGCAATAAACAATTAAAAAGACATACAGTGCCTCAATTTTGCTCTCTTTTTATAATAATGGCTATTAGAGCTATTTATGAACTCGACACAAATGCTCTGACAAGATGAGACCAAGATTAGTTTTTATTCCAAATGTAACATAATTCCCACAGTGAAACTTGGTGGTGGTGGTGTCATGCTGAGGTATAGCTTTTCTTTAGCAGGGACAGGAAAGCCGCCTGTCCATGCAGCAAGGTGGCTCAGGGTGGCTAAATACAAATATGCCATGGTTTTCAGATTTATAGATGTAAACTTCACCCTAATTATCATCTTTGTGTTGGCCTGTCAATCAAGTAAACGTATATAAATAAGGTTTGTTGTTGTAAAGGTACAAAATCTAATAATAAAAGGAGAAAAAAAAGGGTTGAGAGTATCTCTGGGTATCTGTGGTGTGTATGTTTTTATCCAGTGTTTTTACTTGTTCATGCATGTAGGGTCAATATAAAGGGAGGTTCTGGGTTTGGAGAACAGCTCATACACAAGACAGTGTTGGAGGGTTTGGGTAGATTGACTTTGGACGCATCCACCTCCTGCAGTTTGGTCCTCAGCATCGCTAGTGTGGAAGGATTGCAAATGACTGTCAGACAGAACACCTTCATCTCCCCCAGCACAGTGGACCAGTCAGCAATTTGAGAGAGAAGGGAGAAGGCAGCACGGAGAACAACACCCATGGAAGAAGCTTGCAGTGTCGTTCCTGGTAGTGAGCATCTTTCTCGTTTCCAAGGCTAGCTAAGCCCCTCAGCAGAAGGTGCTAGCGAAGAAAGACTGAAGATCCTGTTGAGTGAGATACAGCAGTTTAACCTGCAAATTCTAGATGTCAGACATTAACAAGAGAAGGGAGCGAGTATTTCACAAAAAGCTGACTTGAGACGATGAAGCAGGTAAGAGTAACCACTTTGCTTGATTTACAGATGTGGAAATGGGCATTCTCTTCTTGCTGAAAAGCTGTAAAGACCTGATAACATGGAAGGTTCTGGATGGGTAAGACATTTTCTTTGACATTATCCAAGGTTTTACAATGTTGAGGATTTGTGTCCTAAAGATGACAGAATGATGCAGTTGGTTCCCTCTCATTGTCAGCCAGAACTTTGTAGTAACATAGCACATCTTACATGGGGAGATAAATCTTTATTGAAATCGATCTAAATTCTGTCACATCCCTGTGCAGAGAACATGTTTTGAGGGGATTGCCTTCTGTTTGAATTATGTCCACTGTATTGCTGCTCAGTCTTTATCTGTTTGGCCTAATTAAAAAAGAATAATTAAAATGGAAGCCACAAAAGCATCCAGGTAAAGTAACATTTTAGGTCATCAACAAAATTAGATTTTATTATATTTATCAACCCGCCTAAGGCTTAATTAAATTTTCTGTTATATAGATATGCAGCATTTTCATTGAGGTGCTGTCTGATGCCTCATGTTTAATATTTAGGTGTAACATGTCAGAAAACCAGAAAAATTACATGTTTAAAGCTTCTTAATCAAATTAACTCAGTTAGGTATTTAGTTATAGTTTATTTTATCTGGCCCCTAAAAAATGCAGTTTGTAACTTCTTTAAATTTGCAATAACCCCTAATTTAGGCCAAAAACAGCAGTATGCCAAACAGGTTAAGACTGATCTGTTTTGACAAACGGCGTCCCCCCACGTGCGGCTGCCAGACTGCTTTTATAGTGGCATGTGGAACAGTCTGTTCTCAACAACGTTCCTCAGCTCAACACCAGCATATCAGTGTTGATGAACTGCTCTGATTTTCATGTGAAGTGTAATTGAATTTTTTTTTCTTTTTTAATAAACACTTTTTTTCTATCAGTGGTTTCGTTCGTGAATTTAAAACCCAGTGTGGAATGACTGTCTTCTGATTTGTCATGTTTTTCTATTCTACTTTAACTTCCTTATTAAAGTTTATATATATATATATATATATATATATATATATATATATATATATATATATATATATATATATATATATAAATTTAAAAACCATGTGGTCTTAAGGCTACCCACTTTTACTTCACTTTCACCTGGAAAAGTCTATTAAATTTTAAACAGGTCACAAGACATTGGTCTGTTACATAATGTTTGAACTTTAGAATACCTTTTATCATTTTAAAACAAATCAGTTAAAGGTTTTTCATTGTATAGTTTATTTGTAAGCTCATAACATCACCCACTATTAACTATTAAACTATGACCTTTCTCAATTTATATGCTTCCTTTCCATCAGCATTAATGATAAATCAACAGTTTTTAGGTGTAAGAACATTTGCTCTTAGTGCACACTTGATATAGATTACAGATAGATAACTTTGATAAATACAATTGATACTAGATTTTTAAACTATACAACAACCCTTTTTAATTATCTAAAACTAAACTGCAAGTTGTTTCCTTTATTTAATTAGGGTAATTTAAAAGGCCATAATGTACATGTGCTGGTCATAAAATTAGAATATCATGAAAAAGTAGATTGATTTCAGTAATTCCATTTAAAAAGTGAAACTTGTATATTATATTCATACATTACATACAAACTCATATATTTCAGATGTTTATTTTGTTTAATTTTGATGATTACAAATGACAACAAATGAAAATCTCAAATTCATCATATCAGAAAATTAGAATATTACTGAAGACTAATAAAAACAAAGGATTTATAGAAATGTTGGCCAACTGAAAAGTATGAACATGAAAAGTATGAGCATGTACAGCACTCAGTATTTAGTTGGGCCTCCTTTGGCCTGTATTACTGCAGCAATGCGGTGTGGCATGGAGTCGATCAGTCTGTGGCACTGCTCAGGTGTTATGATAGCCCAGGTTGCTCTAATAGTGGCTTTTAGCTCTTCTGAATTGTTGGGTCTGGTGTATTGCATCTTCTTCTTCACAATACCCCATAGATTTTCTATGGGGTTAAGGTCAGGAGAGTTTGCTGGCCAATTAAGAACAGGGATACCATGGTCCTTCAACCAGGTACTGGTAGCTTTGGCACTGTGTGCAGGTGCCAAGTCCTGTTGGAAAATGAAATCTGCATCTCCAAAAAGTTGGTCAGCTGCAGGAAGCATGAAGTGCTCTAAAACTTCCTGGTATGTGGCTGCGTTGACCCTGGACCTCAGAAAACACAATGGACCAACACCAGCAGATGACATGGCACCCCAAACCATCACTGACTGTGGAAACTTTACACTGGACTTCAAGCAACGTGGATGAAGTGCCTCTCTTCTTTTCCTCCAGACCCTGGGACCTTGATTTCCAAAGGAAATGCAAAATTTACTTTCATCAGAGAACATGACTTTGGACCACTCACCAGCAGTCCAGTCCTGTTTCTCTTTAGCCCAGGCAAGACGCTTCTGACGCTGTCTGTGGTTCAAGAGTGGCTTGACACAAGGAATGCGACAGCAGAAACCCATGTCTTTCATACGTCTGTGTGTGGTGGTTCTTGAAGCACTCACTCCAGCTGCAGTCCACTCTTTGTGAATCTCCCCCACATTTTTGAATGGGTTTTGTTTCACAATCCTCTCCAGGGTGCGGTTATCTCTCTTGCTTGTACACTTTTTTCGACCACATCTTTTCCTTCCCTTCGCCTCTCTATTAATGTGCTTGGACACTGAGCTCTGTGAACAGCCAGCCTCTTTAGCGATGACCTTTTGTGTCTTGCCCTCCTTGTGCAAGGTGTCGATGGTCGTCTTTTGGACAACTGTCAAGTCAGCAGTCTTCCCCATGATTGTGTAGCCTATAGAACTAGACTGAAAGACCATTTAAAGGCTTTTGCAGGTGGTTTGAGTTAATTAGCTGATTAGAGTGTGGCACCAGGGGCCATCAATTTTGAACCTTTTCACAATATTCTAATTTTCTGATATGATGAATTTGAGATTTTCATTTGTTGTCATTTGTAATCATCAAAATTAAACCAAATAAACATCTGAAATATATGAGTTTGTATGTAATGTATGAATATAATATACAAGTTTCACTTTTTAAATGGAATTACTGAAATCAATCTACTTTTTCATGATATTCTAATTTTATGACCAGCACCTGTATACAGTAGGGAATATTTTTATTTAACATAATTTATTTAGCATTATTTAACTTTTATCTAACATTTGCCT